ACCCCCTGTTTTTTTTTTTTTTTTTTTTTTTTTTGGTGCTGATTGTGGGGCTCAAAGAGTTTGAGATAACAACAGATTTGATTGGAATGTGCTAGATCAAATTTATAGTGGTTATTACTGTTTAGCTATCAATTGGCAATTAAATTTAGAGCAGCTATTGCTGTTTAGCTATTAATCGGCAATGAGATTTTATAGCGGTTATTGTGGTTTAGCTATTAATTGGCAGGATCTGGTGCTTACTGTGGGGCTTGCTTCCCTTGCTGTAAATTAGAGTCTTGTGCTTGTTAGTGGCTTTTTTTTGCTTTTGCTGCTTATTGTAGTCCTTTACGGCTTGTTATTTTACTCTGCTGTGCCTGGAAACATCGTGATAACAGCAATGGCCGTATCCCTGGGCTGGCAGATGAGCAGGACATTGCTGCTGTTTCTGTGCTGCTGTGCTGGACAGGCTGGAACTCCAATGTGAACTGGAGTCAAAGGGCCTGTGACCTGTGGATGAGTCCACATGGGAGCACGACAGCCCAAAGAGTCTGTGGCTGTGGATAGGCCCATGCAAGAGCAGGTACAGTCCCTGGAGGATTAACAGCCATGGGTAAGGCCATATTGGAGCAGGTTCACTTCTGAATGAGCTGTGGGTAAGGCCATGCCAGAGCAGCTGTTTCTCTGGAGGTGGTGTGGCCCATGGAGAAGGCCACACTGAAACAGTACACCTTGAAGTGACAGTGGCTGTGGGTAAGTCTACCTCTGGAGAGACTGTGGCTCACAGATAGGGTTCCACGTGGAACAGGTACACCCCTAAGGAACTGCAGCTTGTGCTAAGTTCAAGCCAGAGCAGGGGCAAGGGGAGGATTTCATTGCCATGTTAAAAGCTATAGCATGGTCCAAAGAAATCAGGGGTGGAGATTGTTATAGAAATACCTTTAAATTGTTGTAACCCGGGCTTTGAGTTGCGGGTTATATGAATTACTATAGCAAGAACCACACAAACCCATGGTGGACAAGCCTTACAAGAATCACAGAATGACAGAATGGAAGGGACCTCTGGAGATCATCTAGTCCTACCCCCCTGCTAGAGTAGGATCCTTTAGAGCACATTACACGGGAACATATCCAGGTGGGGTTTTAATGTCTCCATGAATGGAGAATCCACAACCTCCCTGGGCAGCAGTGCTCTGTTACTCTCAGAGTAAAGAAATATTTTCTTGTATTCAGGTTGAACCTCCTGTGTACCAGTTTGTGACCATTACCCTTTGTTTTGTCACTGGATGTCACTGAGAAGAGTCTGGTCTCATCCTCCTGACACCTGCCCTTTAGATATTTGTAAGCATCAGTGAGATCCCCCATCAGTCTCCTTTTCTCTGAGCTGAACAGACACATCTCTCTGCCTTTCCTCATATGGTAGATGCTCCAGTCCCTTAACCATCTTGGTGGCCCTGTGCTGGACTCTCTCCAGTAGTTCCTTGTTCTTCTTGAACCGGGGAGCCCAGAACTGTACACACTACTCCAGTTGAGGTCTCACCAGGGCAGAGTAGAGGGGGAGGATGACCTCCACTGACAGGCTGGCGACACTCTTCTTAATGCACCCCAGGATGGCACTGGCCCTCTTGGCTGTAAGGGCACACTGTGGGCTCATGGTCAGCCTGTTGTCCACCATGACTCCCAGGTCTTTTTCCTCTGATGCAGTGCAAGTGCAGCAGTGACCTGACCTGAGCTGGCTTTGGTGCCCACTAGCTCCATACAGCACACCACGCTCCTGTCCTGAGTGTCCACCATAATAGATGGAGCCCAAAGTCATGGACTAAGTGTACTCAGTGGACATTTTGTGGACATCTGTGGACATTTTACAGACATTTCACAGGAGTGGTCCATAGACTAAAGGAATCATATCTATGTACTGTTTCAAAGGATGGGAAGGTAAGGGGTGGTTAATGAGGATGTATTGCATAGTGTGGGACCTGAGCATGACATAAATGGTATGGAATAAGTGATGAAGAATGTGCTGATTTTGGCTGGATAGAGTTAATTTTCTTCAGTATAGCTGGTATCAGCCTGTTTTGCTTTTGTGAAGAAAACAGAGTTGATAATGCAGAGATTATTTAGTTACTGCCCTTTCTGCTTCTCACCCCAACCCAAAACGGAGCCAGCTGGGGGTGCACAAGAAGTTGGGAGCAGACACAGCTGAGCCAGCTGACCAAAGGGATATTCTGTACCATATGATGTCCTGCTCAGTGTATGAAGCTGGGGAAAGAAGAGGGAGGTGTTAGAGTTATGGTGTTTGTCTTCCCAAGTAACTGTTAGGTGGGATAGAGCCCTGCTTTCCTGGAGATGGCTGAACAACCTTCCTGTTCATGGGAAGCAGTAAATGAATTCCTTGTTTTGTTTTGCTTTGCTTATGTGTGTGACTTCTGTGTTACTTGTGAAACTGTATTTATCTTAACCCACGAGTTTTCTCACTTTTACTGTTCCCATTCTCACTTCCATCCCACCAGTGGTGGGGTCCTGAGCAGGTGGCTGTGTGAGCTTAGTTGGCAGCTGATGTTAAACCACAACACTGTGCCCCAGCAGCTGGCTGAGCTCTTGTGCAGAACATGGTGGCTGTGTGGTGTGATACGGGCTCCAGGCACAAGGAAGTGCAGATGGTCAGGTGCTGCACTGCTCCTGTGGTGGGGGTGTGTCATGATCTGGTATTCAGATACGTGGCAATTTTTTATGATCTTGCCATGACAAAACAAAGATATCAGGTGCAAAAATAGGCACTGGGGCTGGTGTGGATCGGGCAGAGCCCCCTTGCTTTCTAACACTCCTCACCGAAGTGGGAGGCTGGTGTGGCTGGATTCTGCCTCCTTTCCCCTGGGATAAGCCGCACTGCAGCTGCACCCTTTCTTGTCCTGCAGGACCTGTGAAAATGTTTAAAGGTGATTCCAAATGGTGACATTAGACACAAACGAGGTCTGATGTCACCCACACAACAATTAGAGTAACACAACAAAGTCCCTAGAGCGGATAGGACAGGAAGGAAAACAGAGACAGAAAAGAAAGAAGAAAGCAGAAATACAGAGGACAGCAAGCAGTAGAATAGCTACCACCGTTATCCAGCGATGTCTGATGTCGTAAGTCGGAAAATGATTCCTGGTGGGGAAGTGCTTCCCTGCACCCATAGTGTCCCAGATTTTTATACAGTTCTTGCCCACTGCACCCCCACTTTTCTCCCTGTGTTAGTGAGAAAGTCCTTCTATCTTCTCTGTGCTTCTCTGAGATGGGGGTGAGGGGGTGGGTATGGTGCCGGGCTATGTCCTGCAGATAGTCTTTGTTTGGCTAATTACTAAGATCAGCCATTGCAAAAGAGGAGGTTGAGCCAACTGGCACCACAAGATTAGTTTATTGCAGTGGAGGTTTGGTCCTAGAAGGTGGCTTGAGACTGACACTCTATCTTTTCCTGCTAAGTCAGTGGTTTTCATGAGATATCAAAGCCTGGTTATCACTGGATATTCTGTTCCCAGTGCCACCTGTAGAACTCCTTTGTCTCCAATCTCAGCATATCCCACACTAAACTCCCCAGTTCTCAGGTACACATCATGGGGGGGGAAGCAAAATGGTTGGGTGGGTTGCTGAGATATCTCTTTCATCCATCAGCAAATCTTGTTTAACTCTTAGACTCCTCAAGACAGACAACAGATATCCTGAGTGCCTGAGTACATCACTTATCTCTTGGATTGTTCAAGACAAGCACTATACATCCTGAATGTCACAGGGTGGGAAGCAGCAGCAGTGGAGGGGGCAAAGGCAGTTGCTTGCTAGTGGTATGAGGAGCTCCTCCTGCCCCATGGAGCCTCTGTTGATTGAGTGCACTGCATGGGACGAGTTTGATCAAAACCCTTTATTGGTAAAAGTGTTTTTTTTGGGAGTGGTGTCCTGGGTCTCAGCAGGGCATGTGAGCATGTGCGGCAGTGTCATCAAGTTCCTTGTACTCATCTTCTCACACCCCACAAAGTGAGGTGCTGGGTGAGAAGGGAGATGGTCTGCTGTGATGGTCCCTCCACTCGGCCACCTGTGGTGATGTCCTTCAAAATAGCAGGACGCTCCGAATGCTGAAAGGCAGAAAGGAAGGGAGGAGTTACAAGTGCTGTGGCTGGGAGCGTTCAGGAGCAGGGCAGGTGTGCCTGAGGACCAGCCACCACCTTTCTCATCCAGCCTCTTTCTAAACTCAGCTGCACAAGTTGTGCAGCAACGGGGCAGCCTTCAAAACCCTGCTGAAGGAAATCCCTCAGGAGCTGTGGTGCTGTGTCCTTCTCCAAAGCTGTTGTGCTGCTGCTGTAAGATACGTGCTTCCTTCCTTTGGCTTTTATGCTCCTGTCACCAAACATGTCACTTACTCCTCATTCTCCTTTGCCTGTCCTGTACTTCAAACAGTATCTTGGGATGTGGTGTCTGAGGGTCTGTGCCTGGATTTCTGTTGAGCTGAACCAAGAGCAGGAGTGTTCCCTGTCCTGAGCATGGACTCTTTTTCTCCGGTAATGGCAGGTTCTCCTTACACATGGCTCTGGTCCCTGCTTCCTCAAAGTCTCAGGTGCTTTTTGAGAAGGCAGTATTGCCTGCTCTGCCTGGCAGAGTGTTTGGACTGCTTGAATTTTTGGTGGAGGTGACATTTGCTGTACCTTGCTCCCGCTAGTCAGGGTCTCACCTTTTTCCTGCATGTAACAACTCAAATCCCTCGTTCACTTTAGCAAACGGCAGTGTGTGTGTGATCAGCAAGTCTAAGTTGAATTTCTTCTCCAAGTAGCTGGAAACTAATTTGGGCATATCATCTCTTGACTTCCAACCTAGAAATGGGAGAAAGCATATGCTGTGAATAATCAGATAAATGTGGCTTTGATAAGGGAATAGTTGCAGTTTTTGCTTCTGCCAACAGTGTAGCAGTTCTCTTCTGATCTGGATATTAGAGTAGACCAGTGGCTTGTCCCCTCTACCAGGCTGTGCCCCTGTAAAGCACAATAGCTACTTACTGGAATGCATCAAAATTAATAGGATCAGGCTAAAAATGAGAGGCATTTCCTTCTTTGGGCTGGGAGTATACTCAGACAGAGTGAGAGGATCCTCGAAGTGCACCAGCCCCTCCTCTGCCATAAGACAGAAGCACTTATATTGCATTTAAATGCAAGCTGAGACCAATTGCTGGGGTTAAGATGAATGTGTATGAGAGTGGTCATGTCAGAAAGGCCAGGGTAGCAGGTACATATATAATGGAGGGGCAGGGTAGAAAGAAAGCAAGAGAGTGTGAGAAGAAACAGTCTTGTATTGGAAGGAGAGAGCAAGGCGCAACAGAATGGTGTTAGTAGGAGAAGAAGAAAATGCTTTTGTGGAATACTTAGGATCTTCCTGCACAGACTGTACACTCAGGACTGAGCAACTGTTACTGGTGCCATTATGTTGTGCAAAATTTTCCTCTCCTTGAGAGGAGAGTGGTTTGTCCTTTTTTTAATCTCTGTTTGGCATAGACAGTTGTGTGTGTTGAACTGTATGAACAGTTACAGGTTTATTAGCACTTTTCATGCCTATCTATACAGTGAAAATGCAGCACTCCTCATTAATTGTGTTTGCTGTTGTGTTTTTTGTTTGTTTGTTTTTGTTTTTCTGGAAAGTCCTCTCAAAGTGTCTTCTTAGGACACCGATAAGTTTAAAATGTTCTTGGTGACCAAGAGGTTAGTGAATAATGACTCTTGAGGAAAAGTATCTTTCGTCCTACACTGGGGACATGGGATAGATGGGAAAACTCATTTTCAAGGGGAGAGTTATTCATATGCCCTGAAGCATACCTGTTCCAGAGACACACTAGTGACAATGAATATGGACAAGGCTGAGCTATTCAACATTTCTTTTGCCTCAGTTTTCAATGGTAATTTCTCTTCCCACATCTCTCAAGTGCAAAGAGAATGTGGGAATGAGGTCCTTCTCATCAGAAGATCAAGTTCAAGAGCACCTAAGGAACCTGAACATACATAAGTCCATGGGACCTGAAGAGATGCATCCCACAGTCCTGAGGGATTTGGCTGTTGTAGTTGCCATGCCACGCTCCATCACATTGAAAAAGTTGTGACAGTCAGGAAAAACCACCAGTGACTGGAGAAATGGAAACTTTGCACCCATTTTTAAAAATGGTGAAAAAAGGTCCCTGGAAACTACTGACAAGTCAGCCTCACCTCTGTGCAGAGTAAGATCATGGAACAGATCCTCCAGGAATATATGTTGAAACATATAGGAGATAGGAAGAGACATGACTCACCAAGGGCAAATCATACCTGACTAAACTAGTGACTTGCGACAATGGAGTGACTGCATCAATGGACAAGGGAAGAGCTATGGATGTCATCAATTTGGACTTCTGTAAGGCCTTTGATACAGTCCCTTCAATATTCTTGCCACTAATTTGGAGAGATAAGTTTGGTGGGTGGACTGTTAGATGGATAAGGAATTGGCTGGATGGCCCCATCCAAAGGGTCAATGGCTCAATGTCCAAGAGGAACCCAGTAATGAATGGTGTTCCTCAGTGTTCTCTTACTGGGACCAATACTGTTTAATATCTTAATCGGTGACATAGACGGTGGGATTGAGTCGACCATCAGCAAGTTTGCAGAA